TCGTTGATTAATCGAGGAAGCGGCGCGTTGCTTCCACGTTGCTGAGCTCGCTCGCGAACGTCCTACGAATCGTTGTTAAACTTATTAAACCCCGTCGGATTAAGTGCCGGATTAATCGTTCAAGCGATTCGTTGTATTTTATTTCGTTAGGCCGGTGGGCTGACCAATTATCGTGACTTCGTTTTCGGGAATAATTAACTTTGTATTGAATGAGATTTATTATATTTTTTTTTGTTCGCTTATTTCGTTTATATCTGAACGGAATAATTACGTTCTTTTACTTTGTTTATTTCCGAGAATACAAAAATTATGTTATTTTAGTTTGTTTATTTTTTAGTACAATAATTAGATTCTTATAGTTCGATTATGAATGCATAAAACAATGTAATATGACATTCTTTCGATGTGTATCTATTTTACGAAATATTATGTGTTTTATAATTTCTACTTTGTAGAAAAAGTAATGTAACATTTAACATTTAACAGCCTCCTAATTTCAGTGGTCAATAATAATGTTATACTAAATGGAATCTTGAAATATAAACACATATAATGTATATTATATATATTTATAAATATATATATTATATATTGTATATTATTTATATTTAGATATTGTATATTATTTACATTTACATATTTTATATTATATATAATATATAAATACAATTTAAAAATCTTTTTCACTATGAGAATCCGAAACAAGATTTTTCAATCACGTTACTGTATCAATTCTTGCCCAGAGATCGCCGATTTAAGACAAATTATGAAATAATCGCCGGCGAATGATGTGTTAATTCCGCGATGCTGTTACGTTTCTTCGTCCGCTCGAATCGCTTCATTCGCCGGCCACGTAAATGAAGATACCTTAAATCTCATGAATACAGGCTTTAACGACTCGCGAATTCCCGTATCGTTTATTATTTTAAAAACTTGTGTTCCGAAATGTACAGGCGTCCTTTTTGCGGGGCCACCGGCGAAACAGGAGTAAATTTTATGCGATCCGAGAGCAATCACCGATCCTCCCGGGCTGCTTTTCGCATTCGTAATTAAGTAGAAAGTTACGGGTATGACATCTTGTAAGCTTGTCGCGTTTGTCATCGCAGCATCAATCATGAGGACCAAATTCCGATGTCTTGTGCGTGGAATCGATATTGTAAATCTTAAGCGCGGAAGTGCCACGGTTTTAATGTTCAACGGTGGACGCTGCGCTAATTATACGCGATGTAACCGTAATTTTCAATTATTAATTTTGTGTCGGTGTAATGTAATACGTCTTCGATGTTGTACTTAAGATATTGTGCAATGTAACCGCTAATTTATCCTGTAAATTGAGATATTTTTTAACATAACTGCGAATTTATCCAGTAAATTGAGATCTTGTGCAACGTAACTGCGAATTTGTCCAGTAAATTGAGATATTATGCAACGTAACTGCGAATTTGTCCTGTTAATTGAGGTATTATTTAACATAATTGCGAATTTGTCCAGTAAATTAAATCTTGGCATAATATATGCACTTTTTGCTCCATTTAATATTTTGTATTGCAAAAGAACGTGTTATCAAGTACGACAGGTAAATTAATTGGAAATTCAAGTATTTTTCTGATTTATTAAGACTTATACAAAGATAATTGACTTACTTTGCTCATACAATTTTGCACAGTATACTATTACGTTATTTATACAATTCTGCATAGATATTTCTCCTCGACGCAATAAAATATCATACTTCAATTAAGAATAATTAAGCAGAATGTGAAAAAACGTTGCCATTTTATTTGCCATCTTAATGTTCAGATAAATAAGTTAATAATATACATTTCGTAGCTCACCAACCGACGAAGTAAATATTATTATAATTACTTACAAAATTATATTAGTTATAAAATATATAATTAATATATATACATATATATATATATATATAAATATAATTAAATTATATTAGTAACAAAATCGCCAAGTTCATGAAATAAAACCGTCTATCTGATCCACTATTTTAACACCAACACTTACCTTATGTTCGACGAGTATACTCGTCGTCGCATGATTCTCGCGACGCACATAGACGCGCGCTCCGATAAGTAAAGGCGCCACGGCAAACTGGTTAAAAACAATGCCGCGCGCGTGCTATTATCATCACGAAGCCATCCGAAAACGCCACCCTGCGCCGCGCCGCTGATAAACGCCTAAGCAGTCCCTCGAACGTCACCCTTTCGCCCGAAGTATCCAATGACCTTCATCTTGGCGGAGACCCCACGCAAGTTGGCCAGGTCTCTCCCACGAGATGAATTTATGAGCAGGGAAATAGAGAGACAACCTTGGTGCCCCGGCCTAAGCCGGAATCCCGTGGCGGATCGTGTAGTACCTGTTGTGTCGTTACATAAGGAAACGGCGCGTATGTGCGCGCGAAGCCCGTGTATAAGGCATCCGAGGGAGCCTCATAGTCGTAGATAAACGGCTAGATAATGCGCCACGCTGACAGAAAGTCTCCCCGAAGCTACCTGCTCCGCGGGATGCCTCGTGTGTCGCGGGACAGATCGTCCCCGATCACTGTCCCTCCGCACCGGACAAAGCCGGAATCATCGGTGAATTAGGGAGCATGATACGAGCATTCCGTCGTGTCGCGCGATCCTCGACGTCGCTGCCGGCTTGTGGTTATAGATTTTCAAAGCCGTCGCGGCGCGGCGCGGCGCCACGGTTCGGTGAAACGACAAAGTTGCGTCGGAAGCGACGAACTTTTCGTAAAAATTCTGCCGCAGCCGTGCTATTTTCTTTTCTTTTTTTTTTTACGTTCAAACTGGAATGAGAAGATCGAGGGGAAAATAAGGGGAAGAGGAGAACGTGGTATGAATATTTTTTTAACAATTTTTTCGGTGAACTGGAAATATTGCAACGAGGTTGAGACTTATCCGGTGTAATGTATGGTTTAATCTATTTTCAGTGACACGTTATATACAATTTCCATTATTTTTTGGTAGATTTTGGCAAGTTGATTTCAAATGTGGTCACGAAATTTATTCATCCCTTTAGGATTTTGGAAAACATCCCTTGCGAGCTGTGAAGTGAAAACGAAATAAAAAATGAACTCAATATAGGATTTATGTTATATTTGAAATAATATCTTGGAAAAGAGACAAATTTTATTTAGAAATTATAATTGTTTACAGCTGCGAACGCTTATAACATTAATGAAAAGTTCGTGCACCCCATTTACGATTAGAAATTAAGCATAAATAATTGGCCGGTTCAAAAATATATTGAATCGAGAAAATAATCTTCTGGATTAACAGATTAAAAAAGTGAGAACCTTGAATGTAAAAATAATTATTAATATTATTATATATTATAGAATATTACAGATAACAAATTTATTATAATAATACAGACAATATTACAGAAAATTTGTGAGTGTTTCATTAAGAACATTTCGCACGGATTTGCTTCGCATTGAACACGCTGAAAGTCAATAAATCAAACAGCGAAATAATAAGTCACTTTTTAATCAACCATTTATGCAATACCAATCGAATAGGTAGAAAAACAGTTGGAGGATCCAGCTGTCACGCGAGACCGCAGCTTACGAGACTTTTTGAAGTGTGCATGAGTGCAATGTCTGCCGGAGTACGAAGGGTATGTTCGTTCGCCCATTGCCCAGCTGTCTAATATACATACAATGTTACGAATACCGTATGTCCATCCGCGTGCAAAGCTTCAATGTCGTACTATTTCAACGCCCTTCGCCAGTGCGACATTGATATATGCTCCGGCAAGGAAAAGGAAGTAAATGTGTCATCGTGAGCTATACCCTTATCTCTCTTTCCTCATCTATGAAATTAATATTAATGATCCTCACATGATTTTCAAGGTTGGACACCAAACAAACGTTTATCACATGAGAATCTGTTATCACGAAACACGTTATCGTGATATTCGACCATTCGAAAGGCAACGAATTCGAAGTCTTCTATTTTTTTTTCTTATTTAACAATCCTATTGTTGTCGGGACGATGTAATGCTCCATTTATTAAGAAATGTAAGCATAGTGCAGGTTTTTATGGAAAATAAAAATTGTCCACGTCGACTGCGAGAAATAGAAACTCACAAAAAGTTAATTCCTTTTTTAAATAATTTTATTGGAGTGAAAATAATACAGTGATATTTTTAAATGCCTTCGATTCCTCTAGTATTTTAAATCGGAAATACTCGTTTTTGGTATAAATGCATAAAATCTGCGGTATATTTATAAGTTTGATAAAAAGTTTTCGTAAAATATAATTCTGAAATATCATAGAAATCGTTTTTTAAATATAACTCGCAAATGTCACTGTTCTTGTTCTTGTTTTCATCGAACGAATTGCAAAGTTATATTATGCCTGAAAGTCCTAAAAATTAATTGTTAATTACTCATGCAGTACATGAACTTTGAAGTAATTAACAATAATTGGCCAAGCGGCCAATAATAATTTTATTAACTTAATTTAATATAATTTTAAGCTGTCTGACAATAAGAAACAGCAGACAATTTTCTTCCGTTGAACAAGATATTTTGCGCTATAAAATAACACGATTTCCTGGCGAATATATGTATCAACGTTTCCGACTAAATTACGGTAGTCAGTATAGTTCACTATGGCAGGAATCGTAGAAACGATTTGAAGAATTCTTATATTGAAATAACTGGAGCGCGCGCGCGCGCGCGCGATTGGATATAGTAGAATGGAATAGTTGAAACGTTCCTTCGCGGTGCCATTGTATGGATTCAATCTGAATGGTGCAGCTACCGTATCACGTGAAATTGAAATATTCTGTGTAATATCGTAGGTTATGGCCGGTGCAATTTAAGAAATGCATAATCCGACGAGGAAATTAATAAGAGAAAAATTTTTAGGAATTTTTAGGACAAGGAAGTTAATGACACGTTTGAATCGTGTTGCTCCAGCAATCGTAAAAAAGCGAGCACAGGTGAAACAATTGCAATAAAATCTGTCCTGATGTCTTATTTCAAATATATCCAACAAGCAATAAAAATATTTATTGATGTGATCGAGTACGTCGATCTTAAACAATAATAGTATTTCATATATTTTTATTTGTTGAACGTAGAACAAAAATAATAGTCGATTACATTTGTTAGAATTGTTTGTTACATATGTTCACGTGTTTGCAGTTCATTGTTGTTTAAAAACTTTTCCAAACTCCCAAATCTTTTGCTTAATTGAAGATGCGCCATTTGTGTGCACTTGTGTGCACTTGTATGCACGAAACTCTGGTGTATATATCGCCATAGATTCTTCTTTAGGTTTCGATCGAAATCCAAGAAAATTTAACTGAAATCTTACACTTTAATGGGATCGTAATCGAAATCATACTTCGTGCGTGCATAGCACAACAACGCTATCGTGACGATAGTTACGATCTTCCTTAATGTCTGAAACAATACGCGAGCTTGCATTATCGTTCCATCTGTCGTACACTCTGATTAAAGATCAAATTATTAGATAACATTATTATTATTAAAGATAGCATTCGCGAACCAAAAGTTTCGAGAAACGTAAAAAATATGCGATTGTAACTGAGAAGTAAAGGATTTATCTCATTATCGAAATTTAATTTTAGAGAACTTAGAACATAGCAAATAATAAAAGTAATCGATCACTTATTTATTAATGATTTAATTTACTCAGAAATCGATGATCAGTTTTTCGTCTGCGTTGCACAATCGTTGAAGTTACTTCTCAATACGCGCTTCCACATTTCTCACGGATTCGACGAGAAGCCTCTCGAGACACTTACCGCGGACATGATTCTTTTTCGCGCGCCGATTATTTTAAACCTTCCGTCGAATTCGAATGTTCAAGTGACACGTATGCTTCGTCGTGTTGCGTGTATTTATACCGGAGATCGACGTCGCGGAACATTTGAGCAAACTGACGTGTCGGATCGAAGGCGCGTTGACACGTGGCCGCTGATGTTCGACAAGATTCGCGTGGAAAATATGGGAAAGCAAATACAGTAATGTCTCCCTAAAACTGACGCTCAGATTGTGCACAGAAATGGACAATTTGGGATTGAGGAGACACGATCATTCGACCCTTGACATAATTTAAATAAAATTTTATTATTATTATTAAAATACTAATTTATTAAAATATTAAAATATCAATAAACTTAACTCAATTTCACAAAAGAATATTGTTTAATATTAGTATCAATATATTTAATTAAAGGTTATTTTAACCTTGACATAATCTTGACAATTCGTAACTATAAAAACGAACCGGAAGCCTCGAATAATCGTGTTTCCTCTTCTGGACAATCAACAAAAAAATTGTCCATTTTTTGTGGACAATCTGAGCGTCGATTAGAGAGACATTACTGTACAAATCGTCTTCGAACGCGGGTTACCGGCATCGGGACGATTCTCTCGAGACAAAGGAATCGCGGCGAGTCGATTCGCAGCACGTTTCGAACGTTCTTTCAGCCGTCACTTTCGATCATCGCTTCGGGAATCATTCCCGTTCTTTATGCATAGTGTGCGAGTCGTTAAAAGCTAAAAAATATCCACGTTGTTTTTAACGACACCGGAGGATATCTGCAGAAAGAAATGCTTGTTTCAGAGCGGCAATTATCGCGATGCCGAAGATTTCGTTCTCGTGATCATGTTTCTTTAAATGTCAGGGCCGTCCACGNGGAACATTTGAGCAAACTGACGTGTCGGATCGAAGGCGCGTTGACACGTGGCCGCTGATGTTCGACAAGATTCGCGTGGAAAATATGGGAAAGCAAATACAGTAATGTCTCCCTAAAACTGACGCTCAGATTGTGCACAGAAATGGACAATTTGGGATTGAGGAGACACGATCATTCGACCCTTGACATAATTTAAATAAAATTTTATTATTATTATTAAAATACTAATTTATTAAAATATTAAAATATCAATAAACTTAACTCAATTTCACAAAAGAATATTGTTTAATATTAGTATCAATATATTTAATTAAAGGTTATTTTAACCTTGACATAATCTTGACAATTCGTAACTATAAAAACGAACCGGAAGCCTCGAATAATCGTGTTTCCTCTTCTGGACAATCAACAAAAAAATTGTCCATTTTTTGTGGACAATCTGAGCGTCGATTAGAGAGACATTACTGTACAAATCGTCTTCGAACGCGGGTTACCGGCATCGGGACGATTCTCTCGAGACAAAGGAATCGCGGCGAGTCGATTCGCAGCACGTTTCGAACGTTCTTTCAGCCGTCACTTTCGATCATCGCTTCGGGAATCATTCCCGTTCTTTATGCATAGTGTGCGAGTCGTTAAAAGCTAAAAAATATCCACGTTGTTTTTAACGACACCGGAGGATATCTGCAGAAAGAAATGCTTGTTTCAGAGCGGCAATTATCGCGATGCCGAAGATTTCGTTCTCGTGATCATGTTTCTTTAAATGTCAGGGCCGTCCACGTTTCTTTTCTTTTCAGTCAACGTCGGATGACGCGGTTTCATTAGTGTAACGTTCCAGTCGATGGAATCGCAGATGCATTTATTTTCATTATTACAGCACTGGGCAATGCACAAATTCTAGTGATGGAAGTATTAATAACGATAATCGTGAAACTATTTTTTTTCTCTGAAAAATATTAGCAATTTTTCTGGCTATCCAATGACATTTTCTTCTAATTCTGATTCTTGTAAAATGACGTATTACAATTTGCACAATGATCCTCAATCTAATTATTATTAATTTCTATTTATAAATGAATATAATATAAATATACATTATAATATGTTATTTTAATATATTAGTATAATAATATAAATATTATTGTATAACAAAGACAAGATTGAATTTATTTAAATGGCTTCTAATAATATATACGCTTGAATAAAGAAGATAATATAACAATATCTAGCAGAGATACATTTTGATAACATCAAGAACTATAAAAGAAAAAATCAGACACCAGTCGTATCGACTAACTTGCTAATTCTATCATCAAAATGCAACGAAACGAATAAATTAACAAGGTTGACAACATTTTTATTTTTTATTTTATATATTATCATATATTTATTTTATATTATATATATCTTTAGATATAAAAACGGACCTAATTTCAAGTCAATTCTACAATAGAACGTGCACTCCGCGTAGCTCGTTCAATAAATGAGCAAATATTAAAAAACTTACGATCAAAGAAATATTTGAATTAACTGAAATTATGTTACATTGTGAATAAAACGTCTCGCGAGAACGTGAACTTCCACGAAGATCCACGGTCCAATTATTCCGCCGATGATTCCGGCCGTAGCGCCGCGTCGCCGCGAAGATCACAATCGCGCTCGCAGCATCGCGAAATTTACAATCGTATTTGCGTGTCGCGCGAAGTGAAGCGAAATGAATTTCTCGGGTGCGCCGCTACACGTCGGCCGTTTTTATTATATTCTATTAAACCGATACTCGGAATTTACGAGACAATTACAAGCGCGGTTTGGTCTGTGATCGTGACCGAGCGGCCTGTCGTCGGCCCGGCTTGAAAGACCGAGCGACCGTGTATTGAGATCGTGGGTCGGTCGCAGGGACAGCAACGAAAGAAGTAAAGATTTTATCTCGCGCAGCTGATCACCGCTCTCGCTTTGGTCGAGAGCCAAGGGAACATTTCCTTTTTTTTTCTTTCTCTCTATCTCTCTCTATCTCCCTCTCTCTCTTTGTCTTTCCCTGTCTCTCTGTCTCTTCTTTCCTCCTCGTCGCCTCTACACGGCTCGTCGACCGCCTCTCGTGCGAGAAACGCCGCGGATTTGCATGCGATCAGTTACCGATTAAACGAGATAGAATCGGCTGCTACTTCGCGCCGAATCGATGGCCGGTGTCTGTCTCGACGGAATTGCGAGCCGCCGCGCACCGTGCCTTCCCGCACGAAAACATGGCGAACGGGCATAATGCAACTTTCACATTTCAATTCTCGTTGCATCAGTATCGGCTCGTATCTCTTCCGTTGCCGCTTCGACGATGGACCCGCCGCGCCGCGGACGAATTCGCCGGTTTCATAATTTCTCGCTTGAAGATCGCTGAAATCGCGAGGCTCTTTTATTGGAAACTTTTTATACTTTGCGGTTAATGAAGACTATCTTTATTTTGGGTGGAGATCCGCGATGTATGTATTAATAATTAGACTGCTAATATTAATATGTAATGTTACTGTGATTATAGCTATATAATTACTACTATAGCTATATAAGTATAACTATGCTATATTACTATAACTACTATAACTATGATATATTACTATAATTACTATAACTATACTATATTAATTTTATTATATTATACTATTTATTAGACTGATAATATTAATATATAATATTACTGTAACTATAGCCATATAATAACTACCACAGCTATATAACTATAACTATGCTATATTACTATAATTACTATAACTATACTATATTACTACTGTCTCTTATACACATCTAGATGTGTATAAGAGACAGGCTAATATTAATATGTAATGTTACTGTGATTATAGCTATATAATTACTACTACAGCTATATAAGTATAACTATGCTATCTGTCTCTTATACACATCTAGATGTGTATAAGAGACAGGCTAATATTAATATGTAATGTTACTGTGATTATAGCTATATAATTACTACTACAGCTATATAAGTATAACTATGCTATCTGTCTCTTATACACATCTAGATGTGTATAAGAGACAGGCTAATATTAATATGTAATGTTACTGTGATTATAGCTATATAATTACTACTACAGCTATATAAGTATAACTATGCTATCTGTCTCTTATACACATCTAGATGTGTATAAGAGACAGGCTAATATTAATATGTAATGTTACTGTGATTATAGCTATATAATTACTACTACAGCTATATAAGTATAACTATGCTATCTGTCTCTTATACACATCTAGATGTGTATAAGAGACAGGCTAATATTAATATGTAATGTTACTGTGATTATAGCTATATAATTACTACTACAGCTATATAAGTATAACTATGCTATCTGTCTCTTATACACATCTAGATGTGTATAAGAGACAGGCTAATATTAATATGTAATGTTACTGTGATTATAGCTATATAATTACTACTACAGCTATATAAGTATAACTATGCTATCTGTCTCTTATACACATCTAGATGTGTATAAGAGACAGGCTAATATTAATATGTAATGTTACTGTGATTATAGCTATATAATTACTACTACAGCTATATAAGTATAACTATGCTATCTGTCTCTTATACACATCTAGATGTGTATAAGAGACAGGCTAATATTAATATGTAATGTTACTGTGATTATAGCTATATAATTACTACTACAGCTATATAAGTATAACTATGCTATCTGTCTCTTATACACATCTAGATGTGTATAAGAGACAGGCTAATATTAATATGTAATGTTACTGTGATTATAGCTATATAATTACTACTACAGCTATATAAGTATAACTATGCTATCTGTCTCTTATACACATCTAGATGTGTATAAGAGACAGGCTAATATTAATATGTAATGTTACTGTGATTATAGCTATATAATTACTACTACAGCTATATAAGTATAACTATGCTATCTGTCTCTTATACACATCTAGATGTGTATAAGAGACAGGCTAATATTAATATGTAATGTTACTGTGATTATAGCTATATAATTACTACTACAGCTATATAAGTATAACTATGCTATCTGTCTCTTATACACATCTAGATGTGTATAAGAGACAGGCTAATATTAATATGTAATGTTACTGTGATTATAGCTATATAATTACTACTACAGCTATATAAGTATAACTATGCTATCTGTCT